AATCGACAGCTGCCTAAAAATTAGTTATTTTTATATATGTTTTATGCTCATTTTTAATGATATTGCATTTTAATGAAAAATATTTTGCAAGTTTTTAGTTGCAGGTACAGGAGAAGAAATTTTAGAGAAAAAGAAGCAAAATCGGAGCAAACGAGGTCTACTGGAGCAATGTAGCACAAAATGAACTCGTGTCTGACCGCCAGCTTCTAGCGCCTAGGCGCCATACCCGTAAGTGAAAACGGATGAGCCTAGCGCCTTACACTGGGCTTCTAGAAGGTTGGCGCTTAGGCACCACAGTTGGGCTCCTAGTTGCCAGAATCGATTTTAATGACTATGCATTGAACTTAGATGAATTTTGAAGAGGGATCTAAAGTGACTCTTGGGGATTTCGAGAGTTATAAGGAGTCAAAAGAGGCCAAGGAAGAGGTGATAAGTCTTGGAGAAAAGGAGAGTGTGTCATGTGGTGTGTGCGTCAGGGAAAGCTTTTGGTGTGTGCGTCTCTTGTATTGAAATTGTAAGGAGGGTGTAGAAATCATCAAAGAACCTTCAGAGGATTTTCTTGGAAGAAGTTTAAGATAAGTATTTTATATTTTTATTTGAGTTTTGTTTTTTGTGTGAACCTGAATTTTAATATAAATCATGTTTTGTTATGTAATTCCTATGAGATCTGAATAGTTTTCTTTATTTTTCTCCTTACAATAAAAACTAATCTTGTGAATGATTAGAATTGTTTAAGATTTCTTTTATTCTTTACTTGTGATGATTCATTATTCCATATTCAATCTGGCAAATTGGTATGTTAAAACTTTTTTGTGAAGCCATAGTGACCTATCCATAATGATCCAGGAGGGTTACATATTCCTCAACTAGTAAGAATCACATTAATCTGGTAGATGATAAGGCAACCCATTGGTTAGTGCAAATAGATAGAGCGATACGATTTGATGGGGGTAAATTGGTGATTCTAGGATGACAGACGAAAACCTTAACCAATTTGATTTTGAGTTTGGAACTTAAGGATCGGCTAGTCCTAAAGAGAGAGCACAGTGGGTAGGGAGACAAGCTAAAACTACCCAGCATAACCTTAGATTTAGAAACTTAACTCTATGTTAGCCAATGTTCTTTATGCACTCGGAAGAGAGTAAAAATTAGGATTGCTCTTATTTGTCACAAAACTACATTTAAATCTTTAAACATTTGATTCTTATACTGATTAATGATCTCATTGCAAGTAGAAAGACTTTTACATAATCTGAACTCTTTTCCAATTAACTAGTTTAGAAATACTTAGCATTTTCTATAAGCGTTGAAATAGGATTTCTAGGAATTAGTTACTTCTTTTTACACATAAACTTGCGACCTTATTTCCTAGATAAATGTTTAGAGTTTAAGTAAAGTTTTACTATGTTCATAAAAGAGTTTTCACCTTTCCCGTGGGATCGATACTTGGGGTTTAAAAAGAAAGTTTTATATTGCTTGAAATGATACGCGCATTTGCGTAGTATCCGTAGTGTGTAAAATTAAATTGTGAAAAGAAAACGAGAATTATTTGATATATAATATTAAATTAAGAATTAAAAATTACAAAACTGTTGGGGCATCAAGTCTTTGGCACCATCTTTTGAAATTGAAATTTAAGTAATTGCACACTAAGCACGCACTCATTGTGTCGGGGATCACTTATGTGTTGGAGTTATTGAACTGAGTCTAATAGACAAGAAGGGAGGCCTTTCCGCGGAAGGAAGAAGCCCTGTTAATTCATAAGGAGGTAAGAGTTTAATTTTAAGATTTAAATTCATTATTTAATTACATAATTTAAGTAGTGAATTAGAATGCAATATTAAAAGAATAGACAAAAATATTTCCAACTCACAAGAAGATTAATCAACAATAAATGTGATAGTGAGATTTAAGTTTTTGTTTAAACAATTGATTTTAAATAAAAAATCTTTGAAATTATTATTAATATTATAAATTAACGATTTTAAGTTTATGAACTTTTTATAAAAAAGCAATAATAATTTTAGATTGTGAAGTTTTGAAATAAGAGAAAGAAAGTGATTAGAAGTATCTTTATGAAATTATCAATAGAAATAAATAATTAAATGTTTAAATTAATGTATACTTTGAAATTACTTTCAATCATGATTAAAAGAAAATAATAAATCGTAGAGAATAGAGATTTAGCGAGGTGATTAAGTGAAATACTAAAAGCACATAAAAAGATTTCATGAAGGCTTGAGGTAAGCAATTGAATTTTTAAATTACAATAATATTTCTTATTTCTAGTTATATTTTTTATTCAGCTCACTTTATATTATATATAATTGAGGCTTAGGTCACAATTGAATTTTATTATTAATTTGCATGAAGCACGCATCTTAGCATATATGTATAAATAGCAGCATTTTATCTTTTCTAAAAAGATGTCATATAACTAAATGACATGTAAATTCTAGTATAGTTGTTTATATCATTTTATTTCATAATCTATAGATTTAGTAAAAGCATTTTTATTCATTACATTTTGATGACCTATAGATTTAGTAAAAGTATATTTATTCATTACAGGATAAATATAAAGTCTCATAAAAGAAGAATGTATGTCATAAAAAATGAAAAATAGTATATATAATGTTTGTATGTGCAGCTTAGACGAGTTCACCCCCTTATGGTAGACGTAGGAGACACTAATATACTCACACACTTAGATATTCTCCTATCACCTCAGACAGCTATGATATTTAGATCGTTAACTACTATGCCGACAAGAGAATTTCGGCCAAGGGCGAATAGGCACCCTTCCATCTCAGAAAAGGGTGTAATTCAGATCACAAACTGCTATGTCGCGGGATAATATATGTCAAGGGTACGTTGATGTCTATTCTTGCCCTACTCCATATTTTTTTTATAAGTGATTCCATAACTATAAAAAACAACAGTTTTCCATGGCTCTATTCTGCCCAAAGCTAGTGCTTCCTGGACTTGTAAACAGTGAATTGCCGCAACTTTGGTTTTCCTTCTAAATATACAAACTTCTGGAAGCTATGAAATCAAAAGCACTCTTATTGCTTAATGTTAAGAATTGAAGCTTACAGATTTTTATTCAAGTTTTGTTGCAAAATGTAAAAAAAACTCTTGTAAGAAAATGAAAATTGAGTCATAATAAAAATATAGGTTTCCTCAATTATTGTGAATAGTTTTGGATGTTTCTTTTTTTAATCATTTGGCATGTTTTGATGACTAATTACAAAAAAAAATTCCTTTGACCAATTTGCTAAAAGAAAATTAATGACAATAATAATTATTATAATGATGATGACAATAATAAATTTATCAATTATAATTTACATGCTCTTGCCACTCCAAAATAAAAGAAGTATTACATACTTTGTAAGCCCGCATCGATGTGATCTGCCCAATTTTGAGTTAGAAGCTAGTAGCGCCACGATGCTCACTCACTGGGCTTTGCATCTGTCCTGAGATGAGCAATCATCAAAAATGAGCCATTCACTCCCTAAATCCAAACAAAGATTAACAGGAGGAGAGTTTTCGATGGACCAAAGGTCAATGGAAGGCAGAGTTTCTTCTTTCCAGCTGTCTCAAAGATCGATATAACATATTTCTTCACATTTGATGGTGAAATGAGGTATTTCTATTTTTTTTATTTTTTTTCCTTTGACTTGTGTATTTCACCTCTCAATATGTCCTTTTCATGTCCCCCGTCCCCTTTTAATATATAGTGCCTAGAAAGCTTTTGATGGGCAATGATTAGATTGTAAGCTGATGGAGTTGAGCAACAACAAATGATATGAACAAACACCTACTGTAAACAGTTGGTAAGATTAAATCGAACAGTTCTTGCGAAGAGCAGCCAAGTGAAGTGGGACCCACAAGCAAGATGGGGACTCATGAGAGATAGATGATGTGGCGAGGCTTATGGGAGAAGAGATCAAGCATGATTGGCAGTTTTAAGCTTAATGCATATGCGAGTGAGCATCGTGGCACTACTGATGACTTTCTTAAGCACTAGTGGATGATGTGGTCACAGAGTTGTGAAGCATGTGATGCTTAATTTGTTTTAGAGAGAAGAAAGCAAGAAAAATTATAATTTATTTGTTTATTATCGTTATTTTTTACATGAGATGTGAAGCAAGAGAAAAAAATTAAGACTTTATACCTATCTTGAAGCTTTTCTATATCATTAGCTTCCAAACAGTGACCATTCCTCTTTAGATTTTGAAGCAAGCTCTGAGAAGAGGAGATAATGTTATTTAAATTTTTTTTTTTTTTAGTAATGAATTGAAACTTTATCTTTTTCAAATCAGTACAAATAAAGGTGTGTGAGACAAAGGGACAATTCATTTTGAGGGACTTCAATAAATAATTTATTTCAACTTTTAAGTTGTTTTTCAATATAAAATCCTCTTCATTGTTAATATTTTATTTTATTTTGTTGAACTAAATCTACAGATTTAGACATTGTATTCGTTCTATATATATAAATAGAAAGGTTTTGATTTATTATTATTATTATTATCACTCAGTTGACATGTAACATTGTCATATCGTTTTTTTTTTTGTAGTTGATATTGCTAGTGATACTTTTTGTTCGTTATTGTACAAGGATGCATTCATTTTAGCTGTTTTAGAATCATTAACTGCTTTTGCCTGACAAAGGATTTATAAACTTTATTAAAACAAATTAAAGCAACAAGGCAGGATAAACATGTTAATATCATAATGAATTAAGTCGTTCATATCATATATGCAGAAACAAATTTTAACGCCAAGGATAACTAAGCTATTGTTTTGTTCCAATAAGCTCTTCCATAGTACCTGAATAGCGCGTAAGAGCAACAAGAATCAGAAAAATAAGAACTCCGATCACCATTATCAAGCAGATGATTTAAAGTGAAACTAAACTGCATAATGAAAAAGAAAGAAAAAGAACAACATATTTTCGAGATTTCAACATGTTTTCAAGAAAATCTACTCACCAGTGTATATTTTCGAGATTTCAAGAATGTAGAAGCAAATCTAGCATCTGTTCTAAAAGACCTTTCAGCTTTGAGAACCTCCGCCTCTCGTTTCTTATTGTCTGCATGGTTTAACAAGTACATTTGTTAATAATAGAAATTTCATTGACCTTCAGTTTTGGAAGCCGGTAGAAAAAGCATTAATGATATCATCATCATCATAGAAAAAAGCAATAATGATATCATCATCATCATCATCATCACCATAATGATTATTATTATAAATGACAATCATAAAAGAGTTGATACAACTTTGTAAAATTTCGAGAGCCAACAACCTGTAACAAGAAAGCAAATGGATTGAACTGGCTAGAGGTTCGTGTGCTGAAATTTTGCAACACAAGTGCAAACACACCTTTAGAGCGCTCTAATTTTGGCGAAAGAGCAAGAACGGGATTTAGTCCCTAGTAATGCCTCGCTTGAAGCTGATATTATGAGTTGAAGCTACCTGAAAGTACTATTTTAGGTTTATCGGCCGAACAAGAAACCAAACTTCGTTGATGTGTTCATAAACTTAGGGAGTTTGGCACAGCTTATTCGCTACGGGGCGTTTTCAAAACGCCAACAAAGGTGTTTGTTTCCCGCGTCTGAGCTGCATTTCGCAATAAGCTAAAATCCTTTTATATTAAACACCGGCCACGAGTTCAGCCCTGCAGCTTGCGTTCGGAGAGAAAACTTTACTCCCCTGCCTTTCTCGCGAAAGCATGGCGGAAACACTCCTTCGAAGAACGGTCGCGTAGTCCCATTAAGCGTCACTCCAAACAGCACCTAAGTGCCCCGATCCATCCTCCATGCCTTCCCGTTTTGGCTCGCGATTGAGATTAGAGCAATTGAATAGCTACACGATTTCTCGACCTCCTCATCTTCATAGCGGAGCTCAGCTCCTTTCCTCTTGAGCTTTTCCCCTCTTTGACTCTCTCGACAAGCCGACGAGTGAAGACAGACGAATCACAACTCAAGAAACAGTTTGGTTTTGGGAAGGATAGACGGGATCGACGTCCAAAGACCTCTGAAATCCCCAAATTTTCGATCGCCTACCCTTTATACATGCGAAGAATGTATTGGGGGAGGAGCATTCATCATAAATAATTGATAAAAGAAACAGTGTGATGTATGATTATCCTTCTATGACCCAATCATCTTGGTATCCCAAATGGACACAAATTTCATCATGAAAGATAAAAAAAATTATGCTGCATGGAACAAAAAGAAAAAAAAAAGCAACAGAAAATAGAGAATCACTATTTACCATTCTATAGGTTTGATAAAAAGTTCATGTCTCCTTTTGTGACATAAAAATTGAAGCTTGGGGTCATGTTTTTCATTAGGGGAGACAAATTGGGTTCACGGATCAGGTTCACTGACTTAAAATTGACCTGAATCGAAACAACTGGCCCTGAAATCAACCAGAATATTAAACAGATTAGAAATTTCAACCCGAACCAAACCCATCTTCAACTCACCAACTAGAATTTGACCCATTTAACTTGTTTAATATATGTCATAAAATCTATTTGGGTCAATTTAGGATCAAACATCGATCAATTTTGGGTTGTTTGGGGTTGATTTTAATCAATTTAGGGTCAAATATAGTTCAATTTTTTTGTAATGTTAAGAAGTCATGTTTTTGCTTCTAAAGTATCAAATTTATAGTTATGACAGTTGTGTTATATACAACATTACTGAAGAGGGGTATAATGGTCATTTATCCAGAAACAGTTGCAAATCAACTGTTTCTAAACACACAAACTAAACAAACAGTCAGCATATCCGGATCAGCTGTTGATCAGCAGTTTATCTGGATCAACTGCTTATCAGCAGATTATAGATAAGCTGCAACTGCCCCAAACAGGCCCCTTTAGCTTCTGAAGTATCAAATTTATACCTATGGTAGTTGTGTAATAAACAACATTGCTGAAAAGTGATATAATGATTATTTATCCAGAAACTATTGTAAATCAATTGTTTGTAAACACACAAATCAAACAAACAGTCAGCTTATCTGGATCAGCTGTTAATCAGCAGCTTATTTGGATCAACTGTTTATCAGCAGATTTTAGATAGCATGCAACTGCCCCAAACAGACTCTTAATATCCCCTTGGCCCGTATAACTTCTTTGTGGAAGCAACGACCTAAAACCAGATAGCTGAAAGAGGGAGATGCGAATTCTAATTTTTTCCCCTCAATGGCTACTTCCAGGAATAAATTCAACCGAATTAACTGCATTAAGCTTTCTGATGGAACTTACACTAAGGACCAATGGATGATCTAAGTTGTTTTCGCAGATTTCTTTGCTTCCAAACGGAGGGGTTCACCCATAAACACTTCTGGATGGCCTGATTGTGTAATTCGTCAATTTTTTTAGAATGTTGCAGGTCGGCTCATTAGGGATGTCTCCAACGAGAAAATTTGTGATGCAGTTCAGCATATGGGACCAAACCATACCCCTGGATATGATGGCATTACCACCTCATCCTATAAGGACTTTTGGCCTGTTATTGGTAAGGATGTGTTTGCGGTGGTACAAGTGTTCTTGACTAAATGGGTTGATGCATCCTAGCTTGAAGCAGCCCTTGGTTATTCTCCTTGCAAAAACTGATCACAAGGACACTCCCAAGATGTTTAGACCCATTAGCTTGTGTCAAACAGTCTACAAAATGGTTGCCATGCTTCTTGTTAGCCGGCAGAAAGGGTTGGTTCCACAAGTTCTCTCCCCGTAACAAGGCTCCTTTGTCCCATATAGTTCTATTTCACATTGTTGCCTTTCGGCACAAGAAATGATAAACAAGTTGAAGAACTCTACTGCAAAAACTGGGCCTTATGGCTATCGAGATCAATATGGAGCAGGCAAACGACAAGATAAGCTCGAACACCCTTGGTAAGGTTCTAGAAATGTGGGGGTGCCCAACAAAGTTCTGTAGTTGGGTTCTTATGTGTATGGAACACCCAAATTTTACTTTGATGATCAATGGCAAGATATCACCTTGGTATCCAGCTAGGAGCTGCTTTAGGCAAGATACCGCTATCGCCATATCTATTTATCAAGTGTTCCCAGCTACTCTGCCTTGCTCTTTCTTAGAGAGTGAGGCATAGCGGAATTAGTCTTTCACATGCTTCGCTTCAACACATCTCCTCTATGCGGATGATATCATTCGCTTCTCAAAGGCTTCAATGGCTGATGCCAAGTTACTTTCCAAGTTCTTATCAGATGATGGTGAATAGACGGGTCAGAGAATAACACATTTAAATCAGCCATCATCTTTAGTAAAGCCACGGTTAGGTGGAAAAAGATAAGGATCACTAATTTCTTTCAATTTCGGCAAGAGTTGCGTTATCTTGGTTTGAAGCTAGCCATGCACAAATTGCACAAAATTGATTTCACTAGCATTCTCAAGATGGTAACGAGCAAATTTAATGCTTGCGGCATGAGGCGTTTTTGTATTGCCTGGAGAGCCACTCTTGTTGTGATTCACTACTCTCTGTGCCTACGTATATTCTCATGCATAAGAGTATCCAAAAATGCCGGTATACGAAAGCATTGCCATAAAAGAAAATTTTAAATTTAATCTAAGTAGTCAAATTGAGCACACCAACAAAAGTAGTTAAATCAAGCCTACCTGCTGAAGTGACTGAATCAAGTCTGTCGCTCAAAGTGACTGAATCCAACCCACCTACCGAATTAGTTGAATCGAGTATACCAGTCAAAGTGGTTGAATTAAGCCAGCTAGCCGAAGTGGTTGAACCGAGCCCACCTGCTAACTCAATAAATCCAACTCATTTCCATAATCTTTAACGTGGTAATTTAAAGATGAATATATCTCTGGAGAAGCAATAAGTCGGGGGAGGGGGGTCATCATGACCAACCAGAGCATCCGACCTTCTCTCATTTTAAGGACGTCGCCAGACTTTCATGATTCAATCTTATCACCCACAAAACAGGGATGGATGACGTGGCAGTAACATCGGGCACTAAACGACAAAGCCTTCTAGTTTTGACCCTGGTCAAATAGAAGTCGACAGTACAGTCCTTCATGTCCTGCACCTATAATTTTATATTATTTTTTATCCCATGTACAAAAAGGGCTAACGAGAAGAAGGGAGGGGATCTCTCTCTCTTTTCTAGCCCCCTCGTCACCCTTTCCTCAGGAATCCCAAATCTCCTGAGGGAGAACTTTTGTCCCTTGCTATCCAATTCCTCTAAAAAACACTCATTCTTCTGATACCTTTTCTATTTTATTTTCTCTATACATAGCACTCTTCCTACACTATTGAGTTTACAACCAATTTGTATGTACCCACAGACAATACGGGACCACCCTACTTCCTAATGACATTCAACATACTAAAAGAAGCGATGAGTGTGGAGTTCATACACAAGCTTTGTAAAGATCCCGTTTCCTAAAAGAACGCCCCTAAGAACGATGGATTATACCAGAGACTATGTAAATCAATATATCAATGAGTTAAGAGAAGCAAAAAGAACGGAAATACAAGACATGAGGGAAGCATCCCGAATTCATGGACATATGTCAGGTTGTTGAGATCGGTGACCACTGCTCAGGATCCGCCCAAAATAGGAGCACAGCGCTAGTGACGCAAAGACGAGAGCTGCATCTTGAGTAAGAAGAGCTTTAGACCTGATTTTCGAGCAAACAGGACCAGCCGGATTATTTAGAATATTTGAATGTGGAAGAGTTTATTGCAGACTCTCTTGACAAAGAAAAGAGGCGGAGATTTTCCCCTAACTACATGGGTGAAGAAGATAGGAGAGGGTGAGGCAGAGACAACCAGAGACTACTTCTCGAGAAAAATTTTGGAAGCTCAAGCTCCACAAAAAATCAAGATCCTATCGCCAGAATCTTACAAAGGAAAATCTGATCCCTCTGATCATTTGGCATCAATTGAATAAGTCATGCGCCTACTCAGAATAAACGACGCACTGAAATGTCGTATATTCTTCATGATGATAAAAGAATCAACTTTATATTGGTTCAACCATTTGTCTGTAGGAGTCATCACTTCCTTTCACGTCGTTTGATTCAATCATGTGTCTACTCAGAT